TAGACATTAAGAAGATAATGATAAATGTCAGCTGCCTACTGGCGAGCCAATTTTCCATTTCCATTTTTAATATAAAGTAATCATGTCTCTTTTCAGTGTCAAATACACTGCTGTATCGATAAAACCCCTTTGAATTACAGTGATATTTTTTCTCTACATTTATGTCTGTGCAATTCTTTTTTCTCTGCATTTTTTGTACAATAGGTTTTTTTTTTATCTGCAATTTCTTTTTTCTCTACACTTTTTTTACTCTGGAACGTGTTATCTATCATCCACTATCTCTATTATCTCTGTTTATCTGAATCCTCCTCCGCGACAGACCCGAGCGTGGACTTCGAGGGCGGCGTGAGGACTCTGGAGGGCGTGTACCTCCCCCTCGGCCCAGACCTCCACATGGACGACCAGAGCGCCTCGTCCAGCGGTGGGTTACGGACTTATTCTTTTTTGTCAACATGTATTCGTGTTGTAGAAAGAGAGTAGAGGATGGTAAATACGTATATGTGGGAATGTAGAAGTAATTGAGGTGATGGGCATAGGGTGTTTGGTTTGAAATATGGAAGTGTTGAGATATAGATAAATGTTTTAGGTTTGGTGTAGATGTCAGGAAGGAATAAAAAAATCTTCCTTTATTGGAGAAGATGTTGGAATTTAGTTGGGAGACACTATAAATCCCTGATATTTCGAGCCAAAGTTTACAGTTAAAAGAGCTATACGTTTAGCACCAGTGCCCTAGATAGTGTCTGATTCTGCTGCTTCTCCCACAGCGCTGGACACGGTGTCTCCGCTGGGCCGCACGAGGGAAGCGGATGCCTCGGCCATGGACGAGGCCTTCAGGACCCGCTCCTTGCCAGCCTGGGTCAGGAACAAGACGCGACCGCTCACGACCTTGGACGACCTGAACACGATCTATGAGAAGGTGAGTTGTGCACTGCAGTTAGACATGTTAGGTTCTATACGTTCCTTTTGCTTTGAGACTGATCTGTACGTCACGTATGAATTGTTTTTTGTGATGTCTGAGTATGACACATTTGCCATGGTAATGATTGCTGCTTTCATGTGAGGAACTTTAGGCAATATCACAGCTTCCCGGATTGCTGACCTTGTTCCCTCCTCCTCAGCCGCACTGGAGCAAACGCCGACGCAACCGCATGCGGAGCGACGCAGCGGCCGTGATCGCCCTCAGCAAGTCCCGGGGCCGCCTGCTGTCGCCGAGCCCGCAGGTGACGGCCCAGACGAGCACGAGCGTGGCCGCGCAGCCCGACACGGCGGCGCTGGTGGAGAACGAGGCGGTGATCGTGTACGACGAGCGGACGGCCCTGTGAAGGCGCCGCCGGCGGTCTGCTCGGGTCGCGCGTACCTGAAGGGCTGTTAGTTCATGCGATCTGCAGCGAAGAGTCACTGGAGGATATTTGTTCAGCTGAGTGCCACGTGAATCTCCCGGTTGCCATCTGGAGTAATTTAGGATATAAGGAAACGTCCCCGAGAGGTCAGCCTCGGCGGGAAGGCGAGCGACAGGTGTGCGAGACGCGCACTTGTCCCAGGTCGGCCTCGGAGCCAAATAGACGTAGCACTAATTACCTGAGATGTGGCACCATCTATGTGTATGGCTGTGTGTGTAAGAGTGAGTGTTGATCTCCGTGCATCATGTCAGACTGCAGTGCAAGTTTTCCTGGCCGATAAATTAGTACCAGATGTATTTCGATCCTCGCACCAGGAAGTCTAGCTCAAATGACTGCACTTTTGGCACTGTGAATACTTCGATGTCTCGCTCCATGTGGCAACTTGTATTGCAAAATCAGCTGTTTTGGTGAGATCTGAAGACTCGGTTGTTTAAAGGATAAATAACTTCAATCTGTACACAGATTGCTGTCAGATCAGAATGAATTAACAACGTGAATAATGTACAACACAAAACCTTGATTTGTCGTGACATTTGAATAACATTATATATCGGGTGTGTTTTCACATTTTAATCTTCCTCGGAGCGCAGTGTCAATCCGAGGGAACTTGTATAAATAATGTAATATATGCCTATTGAACACAGACAACACAGTAACTAGCCGTGTAAAATAAAAGCCGTTTACAGTAGATTTTGTACATCAAATTTTTACTAAACATACAACCCATACCTCATCCCCGGGCGTGCGATGACGTGAAGTGAGGCCCTGAATGCTGCTCTCTTCCCAGCTGGACACGAGACTGCCATGGCTTCGCAGTGAGGTGAGGCTGGACTCGGTCTGCTCTCGACTTCACATGCGGAGACGCGTGTGAATACATCATCCAGACTCATGCTAGGATTATGCTGTAGGTTAATTTTTTTCTTTCCCAGAGACCATATAACCCGAAGACATACAAAGTTATCAACTTTAAACTGTAATTACTCTTATATTTTTTTTCTACTATTATGATAAATAATAAACCCATTTTTAATCTCATATTAAAGCATATATATATATATATCCGGATATTTATATATATCTTCGACATTAAACTCCCCGCC